GGACCTGGGCTAGGACTGGGTCTCTAGGCTACACTTAAATGCACCCAACATAGGCCTCTGAGGAGACTTTAAATGTCTTCACATAGTCAATTCATTATTTATTCAGAAGTGTGGGAGATCAGTTTAGCTGAATGGAGAATATTAGATTTCGCTGGGTCGTTTTCATGGTGCTGTGATTCCTATAACACACTTTAGTCACGGAGCCACCTGTAGGTGGTACAAGATGAAGCTGAAACAATTGTGTCTTGATCCTGCTAGAGAAATGGGTGGAAAAGTGGGAAGAATGACTCCCTGGGACACTCTTCAGGGGCGCTTTTCCCCAGGCCAAGCACCGGGAAGGAAAGGAGTGAGTGGTCAGTGCAGCAACAGGTGCTGCTGCCCCAAGTAGGGTACCCCGGCAGTCCATCAGCCAGGGGGCGCAGCAGGGCGGCACAAAAGGACCCAAAGTTAGAGATCTTAAAAGGGTGCTGATGGTGAGCCTGGAGGATGGAGGGGCTTCTCCCATGGAAGTGGTAGCACATAGGAGTCTGGGCTTGAAATACCCCATAGTGTGGGTTAGTGAGCTCAGCGTGTCCCTCCCAGAGCAATTGGCCCTGATCTTGATGGGTGAGTGACCCCCCAAGGAACTTAGGAATATGTTTCAGATCCGAGGAGACCCTGACAAAATCTTGAATTCCCCTAAAAATGGGATTTAAACAGTAGATAAAGATAGGGTTACACTACAAAGAACCACACACTGTATGGGAGTGCCTCTCAGACTACAGCAAGTACTTTGGAGTGTCCTTTCCTGCACCTTCAGCCCACCCGATTATTTCAGCTGCAGCTGTGCTGGCAAGTTCTGTGTGAGCAGAAGCTGACAGTCACGTTTCCAGTTTACCTAGCACTTCTGGGGTTCCTTGCCTCAGGCCTTCCCTGGAGCTTCATAATTCCATGCACCTGCAAACAGGGAGTCCCCGTGTAGTCTGGGAGGGGGCAGTGGTCATGTGAGCCCGTAATTAAGCAGAGATGGCAGCTGTCTGAAAGGATCTCGCTTCCTGTTCCCTGGATGACAGTTGTGTGAGGGGGTCATTCTGTACATTCTCAGAGGTTTCTGTGGGCTGGAGCAACTCATCCATAACTCTTTCCAAATCTCTCCAGCTATTCCCTAGGATCGCTTCTTAAGTAAAGCATTTACATCCAGGCTCCTGTCTCAGGCTCTGCTTTCAAGGGGAAGTCAAGGCATACGCTGACCTATATTTAACCCAATTCCTGAGCACTTTTAAAGAAATCACTTTATAGACGAGAAGACTGAGTCTTAGAGTTTTTCCTGAGAGGTCACAGGGCTAGGAACAGACAGAACTAGAAAGAGAACACTGTCTATTAGACCCCAACTCCTCAGTTCATCCTACACATTCTGGATAGCCCCCAAACCATGCTCCTAAGAACATTCGTCCAGGAGAGCTGCAGCGAGCGTGCTTACTAGGAAGTGGCTGATAAGAGTGAACCCAGTTGTGAAATGAAATAAGCAAGCCTGTGTACTGGGTGTGTCCAGGGATCCTGTGATGGCCTGGGGACTGTGGCAAAGTCCTGACTGTGTCAGACTCTACAAGGGCACAGAATGCTGGGGCTCTCGAGGGCAAATGCACAGCCCTGTCCTCAAAGAGGAGCAACTGGCTGACAGCTAAGTACAACAGGGATCTGTGTGAGTTAGGGAGAGAGGGGCATCGCAGTGGGGGGCAGCGTGTGGAAAGGAGGGAAGGGCACTGGGGAATGTGGCATAGAAGCTTGAAATAGCTGGTGTTCAGGAAGCTGTGGGGGGTTAACTGAAGCAAGGTATGCTGGGAAGGGTGGGTGGGGAGGGTGGGAAAGTGGACTCAGAGCCAGGCAGATAGGCAGGCAATGTTCCCAGCGGCTTCGCGTGCTGTGCTGAGGAATCTGGGCCTGGCGGTGGGAGCCACAGAAGGCCTTTAAGTAGGTCAGTGGTTTTTAACTTGTAGGAAACTGACTCACTTGAAGAACTTCTTAAAACACAGGCTTTTGGACCTCCCCCATGCCTCTAGTTTCTGAACTAGGAGGTAAGGGATACATCCTGAGAATTTGCATTTCTAGCCAATTGCCAGGATATGGTGATGTGATGGTCCAGGGACCACACTCAGAACAAGCGAGCAGGCAAAGACAGTGCTCAGGTTGGTACTGAGTGCCCCAACCAGCTGAGACAGAGAGGGGTTAGGAGGCTGCTGGCTGCAGTAGTGCCTTGGCAGAGCAAGGGGGACCTGAACCATGTGTGCAGGCATGGGGCCAATACTCTGAAGGGGAAGCATCAAAGACCAGAGTTCATAAGACTACAGGAGTTGGAGGCAAAGGTAAGGTAAAGGTCCAATTGCATTTTATCACTGTTTCAGAGGATCTTTAGACCAGGAGTCATGCCCAGCCAGAGGAACTGTGTAGACAGATGCGCAGACACTCCCCACGCTTTGGGCCTTTTCCCTCTGTCTCCTCCCATACCAGAAAGGAATAGGGAAAGGACAAAAGCTTTAAGGAAGATAAAGTGAGATGATAAAATGAAAAGAGAGGCAAACAGAGAATCAATCACCAGCCAGTACCCAGACACTAGGAGAACTGGGGAGATGAGGTAGATAGAGGAAGACCAACAGACACACCAGAGATTCCAGAGAGGTGTCATTCTGGTGGAGGGATGGGTGACTCAAGATGTTAAGGGGTTGGTTGAGGTACTCTGTGGTGGAGTCCCATTTTCTAGCAGTTAATCAAGTCCTTGCAGTCGGTCCCTGCAGGACTCCAGCCTGGTGTTGGAGGGACAGCAGAATGTAAGCAAGGGTCCCCTGAGCCGGGGAACCCTCCACTATTTTACCTGCATTGCCTGGGCTGCCTTCTCTGGGACATACAGCTTGCACTGGTCTGGGGAATGGGTCACTTTAGCGTCCCCTCAGTGCTCCTTCAGGGGGGCCCACTTTCATCCAAAATCTGGCTGGATGTTGAGCAGAGGAGTCTGGTGTGAAAGGCAGGGCCTCTGGCTGTGGCCCATACCTGTGGTTTTTGTCAAGAGCCTCCCCCCACCACAGTGTTTCACTTTCTGGGGGAGCAGATACAGAGAACCCATCCTCCTGCTCCTAACTCTGGGGACTTTCAGAGCAGGTCTGCCCTAGCAGGCTACATAGAGGGGACTGATACCAGAACATCAACTTTCCTCTGATTCTTTCTCTCTTCAGCTGATGACACAGGGGCTGTTATCTCCTGCTGTGAGACTCAGGTATTGCGGGGCTGTTCTGAGCCTGCTAGCAGCTGGACTGGACCCTGGCGAGTCCCCACACATGTGGGGATAATACCCTTTCCTGGCATTTGCAGTATACCAGCAGTACTGCAGGCTTCCCATGGGGGGGGGGGCAGATAGCTTCTCTGAAGAAGGATTTGGGACAGGAAGGAGGTTGCCACCTTCCTATGAGCTCTGCGTCCATCCTCTGGCCCTACTTGCCACATGGCTTGAGCATTCAAGCGTCCTGCGTCCGTCCTCTGTCTCTCTTGCCTAGAGATCCTGGGCTGTATGTTCACGGGCACAGATTCCACAGAGAAAACTTCCTAGGCTTTTTAAAAAATTGAGGTGAAAGTCATGCAGCACAAAATTAACTACACAGAGGTGAACAAATCAGTGGCTTTGATCACACTGATGAATCTATGCAACCATCACTTCTGCCTAATTCCAAAACAAGACCCTGCGTGCATTAAGCAGCAGCTACCCCACATTTCACCTCCTCCCCCACTCCTGGCAACCAGTAGCATTTCTGTCTCTCAGGATTTGTCTACTCTGAACATTTCATATAAATGGACTCATACAAAATGTGACCTTTCTTGGTCTGGTTAATTTTATTTAGTGTAATTATTTCAAGGTTCATCCATGTTGTAGTGTGTATCAGTAGCACACTTCTTTTCCTAAGAGTATTCTGTTGTACTATAGATCGGGTTTCCTTTACTTACTCATCCACTGATGGATATTTGGGTTATTTCCTCCTTTTGATTTTGGGAGTAATGCTCCTATGAGCATTTGTGTACGCAGATTTTTGTGTACGAAGATATACACACATAAGTTGGAATTTCCAGGTCATATGCTGAGATATTCACTTCTGGTGGAACCCCTATGCTTCTAGTTCAGGGGATTTTGTGCCTTTGTTTGATTCTGCAGGCGTTTTCAGGACCAGTGATTAGAAGATGTGGCTGAGAGATGGCCCCCAGGCAGGAGAGCAGTGGGTGAGTGGTGTGCTGTCACTGTGGGGAACCCCCCCCCCACAGTGGCTAGGGTATGTCCCATGGACATGGCGGGGGTGGGGAGAGTTAGTCAAGCTTACCCGCGACCACAGGGAAAGGCCTGTGTTAGAGACCAGCAAGGGATTCATTAGTGGCCCGGGAGATTTATCATTTCCCGGGCACTGTTCTCCGCGCTTTCATTATTCATAGTCCTAGTGGCACTGAAGCTCAAATGAAAGCCTTCATTTTCCAGAAGAAGAAAAAAGTGTCAGGTTCAGCTTGCCACCTATAAGCATGCAAAATTGGTAAAAAAAAAAAAAATTAAAAAGAAGAAAAGAATTAAGCATTACTAATTTGAAGGCCACAATATGTACCATAACAACCATTGTTGGATTCCTATCATTTTGTTTATTGAAATTCTGTATAATTTTTAATGTTTTTTAAAAAAATTTATTTCCTTAAAGAAGAGTACCAGCTTCCCTTGGCACTTCTAGCGTTCCTCATACATGGTGCTGATTGCTTCTATCTGTCCCTGTGTTTCAGGCTGCTCTGAGAGACTGAGTTCCTAGAGGACAGGGACCGGTCGTTCCTCTCTGCCCCCGGGCCTGACTCAGGGCTGCTATGCTGTCCACTGGGGCCCCAGGACAAGTGGCCTTCTGCATGAGCAGAGTGGAAGCCTGACTGGGTTGCATGTCCTGGCCCCAGTCCTGCTCTGCCACCTCTACTTCCTCCACCCACCTTCTGTAGCATGGATGGCAGCCAACTCCTTTTGCGGGTAAATTACTGAAGGGATGGCAGATTATTACATACATAGACAGTATATTCATCTATCCCCTGGAAAGAATTAATTCAGTCACCAAAAGAAGATAGAATTTCAGTGTGCTTCCCGCTGGGCAAAGCCAGGACAAGAAAAGGTGCTGCCTTACAAGGCCCAGAACCATAGAAGAAAATGACCTGATCCAGCGAGAAAATTGCATGAGGTGTCATGAATGCCGCTTCAACTCAGGGCTGACAAGGGAAGGCTCCTCGGTCATTGCCTGTGGCCACACCAGGCAATCAGCCCTTTGAAGCAGCTGCATCCCCAGAGTTTCCTCCTCCTGCCTAAGCTTGCTTATGACCTGCTTTGCCCCACTCCCCACCCACGCCCTCCAGACTTCATTGCTGCCCAGGCACGATGTGGGTCTGGTCGCCAGCCACCTGGCAGAAACCCAGCTGCCCAGAGAGAAGGGCCTCGAGGAGTCCAGGCACGGAGTGGGTACAAAGGTCACAGGCAGATTGGCATCTGTCCTGCCATCCTCTTGTCTCTGTCCTCAGTCATGGGTGTCTGTACATGCACAATTAGTCATGCCCAGGGGTTTGGAGATGGTCCTTCTCTGTCTGTCTGTCAGTAGGTCTTTGGTTGTCTGTCCCTGTATGATTTTTCTAAGCTAGCTATGTACAGACTGTCTCTGCTAATGCTCTTTGCATCTGTCACCATTCTATTTAGAGTCTCTCTTCTATATTTATCCCAGCACCTTCTCCCTGTTATTGTCTCTGTGGTCAGTGCCTGCCTGGGCTTTCCAGGCAAGCAGTAGATAGGTGGAAAATGTCCCATGTCTGATTCTCTGACAGGCACACACCATAGACCTTGTGGCTGAGGACCCTCATTTCCCTTGAACCTGTGGTCTTGAAGAATTGGCCTAGACAGGAACAGAGGTCAGGACCATGACACCCCCTGGCAGCATGAGCCAGCACCTCTTGACTTCTGGAAGCTTCTCCCCATAGAAGCATCATCCTGCTGACACATCCTCATGGTCAGGCACAAACTTTGGCCTAGGACCGCAGTGGTTAGTTTCCTAGAATTATGTGTACAATGGTTTAAATATGAAGTGTTTCCCCCAAAGACTCATTTACTGAGGGCTGGATGCCACTGCAGCAGGGTTCAGAGGTGAGACCTAGAGAGATGATTTGATCATGACAGGGTTGACCTCATCAATAGGTTCATAACTGAATGGGAGGCGCAGCCCAGTTGGAGAAAGTAGGCTCTTGGGGATGCATGTAGGCTCAGATCTCTGGCCCCTTTTTTCTTGGGCTCTTCTCCTGTCTCTCTGCTTCCTGTCTCTCTGGCTACCATGCGGTGAGCAGGTCTTCTCCACCAGGGGCTTCTGGCTTTGGAGCCAGGAAGCCCAGACCGGCATCTCTGAAACCAAGAGCCCAGACTGCCCTCCTTTAAATTGTGCATGTCAGGCATTTTGATTTACAATGGAATTCAGTTAGCCTTGGAGGTAGATGGTTTTGACAGAAGTACTTTAAAAATGTCAACATACAGTCTCAGACTGTAGGGGCATTCACCTGAGAGCACAGAGCTAGAGAGAATGGAGCTTGCTTGGCTCTGTGTCTTCATCCCCAGCTACTTTTCAATAGTGCCTCAGCGCACTGAGGTGTGGGCACAGTGGACAAGCCACATACTGGCATGCATTTGCATCTCACGAGATGCTGTGGTATCTGTGTGCATGTGTATGGATGTTGCTTTTCAGTTTTAACATCTGGTTCCCCTTAGTAGGGAGGCATGTAGGACAACATGAATTACCCGTCAGTGTTCACTGAAAATGTGACAAAATGGACATGATAGCTCTCTTGAGTTCAAAGGACCTGCCACGTGAGTAGCCTATCTAGGAGGTGAAGCACCTGCTTCACACACACACACACACACACACACACACACACACACACCATAAAGAACCAGACCAGCAGGTGAGATTGGAGCTCAGCCTCCGTGACCTACTTCCTCGTCTTCCTGTGCCCTGAGGCTTCACCTGCTCCCCTTCCCAGGACAGCAGCAGGGGGCTTACACTCAGAGACCCTACTGTGCCCACTTATGCTCACCAGGAATCTGCTCAGAAGGCCGCTCAATTTTCTTCTGGGGTTTTGGTGGATGACACAGCTCATCTTGTCAAGAGAATGGCCCCAGCATGAAGAGGGTCTCCTTCTGTTTCAAAGCTCCTGCCCTCGCTCAGACAGGAGGCTGGTCTCTGACACGTACTGTGCTGGGGCCACCTGACATTGAAGTGATGCTGGGGGTGAGGATGCCTTGTCCAGTGATTGCTAACCTGTATTCTGAATATCCCCAGCTTCTCTCAGCTGGGCTTAGAGGAGGAGGAGGAAGAGAGTGGGAGATTCAGAGACTGTGAGTGAGGGAAGTTCTGATTTATGTGTTCTACAATTTGGACTTCCTTATAAGAGGTCAGTTAGACTGGCCTATTAGTTTTACACAATCCTGGGTTTCAGTGCATACAAAGCGTTTTGAACATATTCCCCCGTTTGCTTGGAAGGGGCCTCACACCCCTTCCTCTGCTGTGCTCTCAGCTCTCACCATGACTCCTGGACAGGGACAGGCAAGTGTTGAGTCCCTCAAGTGCTTTTCTCTGCCCATGGGTGCACAACTGTCAAGGTATGGTAGGGCTGGGCGGGTGCCTCAAGGCTGTGTGGGCGACTCTTACATGACTCTCTGGGTCTTGGTCGGTTTCTGGGGCACCTCTTCATGCGGGTCTTGGTCAGACCCCTTGGGGCCTCCTGGGCAACTGGAAGTGAAGCCAGCTGGTGCTGACCTCAGAGGAAGGATGCTGGGCCACGCTGCCTCTGAGAACTGATTTATGGAAGATGTATAGGTACAAAGGATGGGGAGGCCCCATCCTCAGTCTGTCTGGAAGCTCCTTCCAGAGCCTGGGCTTCAGGCCCCTGAAGGCCCATGGAGCTCCCAGGAGGACCTGCTGAGCCAGGCCCTCCCCCAGATCTGACCTTTAGTGGAGGGCGTGGAAGGTACCCCAGCTCTCCTGAAGTCAGCATCTCAGTTCCCAGAGAGTGTCTGTGGGTGACCTGGATGAAGACAAGGGTGATATCCACCATATTATGTACTCAGAGCAATTTGGCTCCAGGATGGTCACAGTAGCTCCATGGCTGACTTCTGAGAGGCAGAGATTTCTCTGCCTGTCTGCTCACTGTGCCAGCTGCTTGGGGCTGGAGTCTCTCCACATGGCATCATCCTTTCCTGAGCCCTGATCCACGTTTTTTTCTTTGGCTGTGCTCCAATTTCAGGTTCTCTCCCTGTGTCTTCTTCAGCCTGGCTTCTTTGTGCAGAGAAGATGTTGAGAGGAATCACAGCTTTGCTAGCTTCCCTGCTAGAACATCAACTGCTACATAATTGTAAGTCAGATGTTCACCTAGTCCTCTGAGTTTTGACATCAGAAGGAGCTGTGAGAAGCAGCCTGGTACTTTGAATTTCATTTCTCCAAAGTAATGCTTAGCTACTGGGAGAATAGCACAAAGTGGTGTTTGCATGTTGCCGCTGAGGGATGGTACTAGGGGCAGTTTGCCACTTGTTTGGAGAAAGACTCCCCCCTGTGGCCCAAGGGATCATCTGAGGCCCATCTGAAAGTAAAAGAAGCTTTAGGTCCTGCTGGAAGCCTGAACCAATGTGGCTGGAGATAGGATAGGCAGAGGGTCCTGATGGTTATCATGTGCCTGTTAGGGCGCTGGCATCTTGCCCAGCCTCCAGGGGAGTCCCTCCACTCATCACTCCATGAAATTTCCTAACACCCTTGGTCTGGGCAGCATCTTATATCTTTCTAGCATCTTCACTCCAGCCTTCCTGAATTCAGCTTAACATCGGAGAAGAGGAGAGCGTTCCTGAGGGGACTTTGCATGGATGGCTTCACCATGGCAACTTCTTGTGGAGCACTAAGCATTTTTAGTGTAAACAAAAGCCACAGGGACCTCTTAATGGTTAAGGAGATTCCCCTGATTGGTACCAGAGAGTCTGATTTTACTATGTACGGGGAAGAAGGGCTACAGTCCATGGGATGCATTTCAGAGGCCAGTATGAATGAGGTCTAGAAATCTAATGTTTTCTAATATGCTGAAGTTCCAGCTCAGCCTGGAAGTGACTCCAGGGACAGAAGCATGTGTCGCTCTGAGAGCCTGTCCCACTCCTAATTCTTCCAGTTCCAGAAAGGACACCTGGGCTGAAAGGAGCAACCTCTACATGGGCTAAGGCTGTGCTCAGTGGCAGAGAGAATCTTGTATCAACCCATAGGCTCTGCCAATATCTGGGACTCCAGCCAGGCAGAATTAGGGCCCAGTGAAGTCATTTACCCACTCAGGGCCAAGGGGCTGAACTCAGAGCATAGGTCAGGCTGCTGTTCTCCTGTGGACACAAAGCAAGCAGATGCTTTCTTCTCACAACTCTTCTATGGAAGGCTGATGGCTTGTGCATAGCTGGTGGCAATTTGGGACCAGAAAGTTTTATCGGAGGCAGCAGCTGCCATCTCTGGGCTGAAAGTGGCCACCCAAGGAGCAGATGGGTTTGCA